ATACATTTAAAATACATTGAGTTTCTTTGGATCCATTCAAAAACACTTGTGAAAAACCTCTATTTCTGCAGGATACCAGCGTCGGACACACAGAGGGTGAACTGTCATTGGAGAGGTTTTCAGATGAACTGAGGGAGATGAAGAAAATTATTACGTTTCTCAACACCGATAAGCAGGAAGAAAAGAGAGGCTATTGGACCAAACTGGATAGAAGAATCAACAAGATTTTTGCAATGTGCTATGTGATATCCATCATTGTATTTTTAGCCATAATATTTTCATTGTGGACAGCAGATGAAGACGTAATTTGCTAAAGTTAAACACTTCCAGGTTAGATAAACATGTAGAAATTGCTCTACCTCTCTTTCATTAAATGAAACATTTCACAAACTGAAGGTTTGTACATAGAAAAACAGGTGCAAACAACGAGACTTATTAAACAATGAGTGTGTCTATATTTAGCATGTCAAGCCATTGCAGTTATTAAATGTTGAGTGATATTAAAATAAAAATGAAAGTCATAGCGTGTGATAAGAGTCATAGAACCATATGTGTATGATGGGAAAATGAGGATGGAATAATAGGTTGATATATTAACCTATTAGTAGGTTAATTTCAACAGCAATTAGTGTGCTGAATCCTAAATTTCAAATTAAATATTAAGTAGGTACAAAACAATTGTGTATAAAGACCTTATTTTCATCCAAAAACATATTCATTGGAAAGATAAATATTACACTGATGCAGCTATGATAATGTCAACTTTAAGCCAGGAACTTCAGATTTTAGTTACACCTAAACCTCCACAGGTCACAAGACCACAGCAAAGACAGAAGGATAGACAACAGCAGAATCCTTCTCAACTCATTGGGTTTGGTTTGACCCTCAGCAGAGAATCAAACCAAACCAGCACACCAAGAGGCCTGGCGTTGGCCTTCAACAAACAACGTTAGCATCAGCAGCTTAGCACCGCAACAGCTCCTACCCTGAGACGTCTTCTGGACCCACCACTGGAACAGTTCTTTGACTTAACCAACCCTTGATGGGTCAGGCGGATCTGCCAGCCACTTACCGAATAACCAAGGCAGCCATTTCAAAGATGGCGCTCCCGCGTATAAGTACGAGGCATCAAACGAGGCTTCGATAAACACTGACACGATTTCAGTCGGATTCACAAAGATTTTTGTCACAAGGCTGAGCGTCCACTCGCATTCCACGTCTTGGGAGATCAAAAAATAAATTTTTTAATGTCCAGGTCCCTCAGTTTATGAATATCAGGCCGACAGTTTCTAGCCGCATCTTTTTTAAAAACACTCACGCAGAAGCTGTGTGATATTTAAATCCACCATGGCGCATGCGTCTCAGGCTCATTGATATAATAATGTTAATAGCATTATATGTTTTATTCATGTTTTATTCCCCAATATGTTTGTAGAATAATTTAGAGACACAGCAAAATTTGTTTCAAACACACATTAATAATACATGTTTTCCCTTTCCAACAAAAATAAATGTGATCTGCAAATAAAACCAAATCAACTGAGACCAAAGCCTCCCTTAAGCCATTACTAAGAAATTAGTTTTTACATCATTCACAGTCTAACAATGACAAGCTTTGAGTTATAACTTACTTTTCCCAATATTATTCTAGAATCTTGAGTCTTGAGTTTATGCGTCTTAATTTTTGGAATCTTAACTGCGCCAGATATTAGCTTAAGCATTTCATGTTTCTACTGATAAATAGACAAATAACCCAATCATATCATAGAATTTGATTAGGGATGAGGTTCGCCCACCCCTTGCCTATGTAAGATTTTGGTCGCATAATATTTCTGCAGTGATCTCATTTGCACTTGCTGTTCAACCATCAAAGTGCCTGGACTTCATAGAAATGTTGCGCAGAGATTTCATTCTTCACTTCCTCCTCATAGGTATTATTATTATTATTATTATTATTATTATTATTATTATTATTATTAAAAACCTAGAACAATATGTCAGGGTTGTGTTGCTGTAGAATCTGTTTTCTAGATTACTGTGTCCTCATTTTTATTTGCAATATTTCACTAATAGGAGAAGCAGCCTCCATCCCCTATTAAATTATTCTTATTTTATGAAGAAATTCTGAAACAGTTGAATCTGTGTAATGTTATCTTGCAAGGCTGAAAGTAGTTTAAACAGTATTTACCCATAAAGGCAGGTTTCTTTATACTTAAATTTATTTTATTTTTTTACCGTTGCTGTATTATACGGTAACTACATCAGAACTGGACGGTCTTGTCAGACTCGGGGGACTGTAAAAAGCATTGTTGTGGTTAACCATAAGTGCACGTTTATGCTAGAACATTGGACATTTAATCAATAAAATGTGAGCTCTCTTTGTATTGATCAGGAGAGACTCATACATTATGAATTAATTTCAGGCTCACAAGTAAATAACACAGAACATGCTGTAATTTATGACAGAAATATTTTCATTTTTCTGCCATTGTGCCCAGATCTTTCTTGTCTGTTTGTGTTTGAAGTTGTAGAAGTGGCTCCCTCTGAAAGAATGTGTAGTTATCAGGAGGTCTTAAACTACCTGAACCTGAACAGAGGAAATGAGCTGTTTTCATTGACCCGACCTGTAAAAGATTTCAGAAAAGCCACAACGGTCTATATGGAGGTATTGCTGTATGCTATCCTGGATGTGGTAAGTTGGGAAATTGCTAAATTTCATATTTCTGGTTAAGTTAGTTTTTCCTTCAACTTTCACTAGAATAACCCAACCTTACAATTCAGATGATATACTTTTATTGTTGTGTCTATCATTTCCCAGATTTATATTTTGAAGAGCATCAGTGCTGAAACTGAATTCAAAACAGAAAATGTCTGTAGAAATAGTCACAAGCAAGAAGGAAATAGCTAAAAACAAGTCATTGCAATTTAACTGTAGAAGGACTTTCAAACTCTTTTCTCGTGCCACCTTTTAGTGAAAATACAGTACATATGTTTTTAATTAATTTAATCAGGAAGCATAATGGTAATTTTGAATTTTTTTTTAACACCAATTTTCTTTTTTGCAGAGAGAGATTGACCAGACATTTGTACCATATGTTTGGATAATCATGGTGAGTGTTATCTTTCACTAATATTTCTCTGAGTAACAAAATTATAATTAAGGTAATTATGCAATTTGTAGACTATATGAATGTCAGGTTTCTCCAGTGGAGACTCAAATTAAGGCAAACATAAAAACTGCTTTCGGAGATCCTTCGACTCAATTTTGGACCTCAAGCTTTCCCAAATTTTTATATTTCCAAATTTTGTGTAATATTAAAATTTGTGATCACATTCTTTACTTTTCTCCGTAGCAATGGCAGAATGACTTCATTTCCTGGGATTCCAGTGAATTCTGTAACATCACTAAGGTTACTATTCCAACAGATATTCTGTGGAAGCCAGATCTCACCATTGAAGAAATGTAAGCGTACATTTGATATACATGCACTTGCTCTATTTAAACAAACGAATATACCAAACATCTGAATGGTGACTATACCAAGAGCACAAGAAATGAGTAGAGAAGGAGAAAATAATGACAAAGACAAGAAAATCTGTCGGACACAGGAGACAACTAACACAAAACTCATGCAGCCCTTTAATGAGTCCTCAAAGTGGAGAATCCCCAGGGGGTCAGCCTGGTGGCTGGCAGACTGGTGAGATAATTGAGCCTTTCTAAGTGACTCAGTCCAGTCATTACAATCTGGTGCAGGATATCAGATGAGGAACAAATCACATGAGCCAAATGTTTGTTGTGTTTTGTTGTCAACAGAAAATAAGTAAATAAAGATAACTTTTATGGCATTTTGCACTATCATGTGCTGCTTGGAGAGTCAACATGAAGAATCAGCCACTCGGGAATAGGAAGGAAAAAAACAAACAGAAACTCAAATAATCATGTGAGTTTCTGATCACGAAACTGACATGAAAAGAAGGGCTCATCACATTGACAAGCAGAGAGTTTAAAATATATGTAACAAATATCTGTGAACGACGTCCATCTTCCACTGAGTTGCATCTGCAGCAGAGAGCAAGTACTGGACTGCAGAAAGCATAACATTTTGTCAACTTAGAATGATGATCGCCCTGCTTCCCTTCACACGTTTCAAAATACTTGACTACAATCAGCAGATGAAGTAATTTAAGTACATTGGGTACAAAGCTTTTCTTCATGAACAAAATGAGTAGGAAAGGACAAGATAGCATAAGTACAAAATCTGAGTGTGAACTGGAAAATGTCCCCATAGGTCAGTGCTTCTCAATTATTTTCCGTTACGCCCCCATATCAAGAAGAAAACTATTCGCGCCCCCCACTCCCCACCGTGACTATCCATGTCTACTGCAGGCAGTATCAGCTCCTCTGCTATGGTGTGGGGCTTTTTGCACTGCGCAATTTGGTACGCCACCTTATATGATGCTAGCAGCGCTCGATGGTTTACTGAAGTAGCCTTCACAAAGCGGGATGACTGTTGGCAATATTCAGCACGTTTTCGCTGAAAAAACTCTAGCGGCTTACCGCCTACGGTGGCCCTGAGGTGCAAAACACTACAACATTAACAAAAACACAACAACATTAACGAAAACACAACAACATTAACAAAAACACGACAACATTAACGAAAACACAACAACATTAACGAAAACACAACAACATTAATGAAAACACGACAACATTAACGAAAACACTACAACATTAACGAAAACACAACAACATTAACAAAAACACAACAACATTAACGAAAACACGACAACATTAACAAAACACAACAATATTAACAAAAACACGACAACATTAACAAAAACACAACAACATTAACAAAAACACAACAATATTAACAAAAACACGACAACATTAACAAAAACACAACAATATTAACAAAAACACAACAATATTAACAAAACGACAACATTAACAAAAACACAACAACATTAACAAAAACACAACAACATTAACAAAAACACAACAACATTAACAAAAACACAACAACATTAAGGAAAACACAACGGAAGAGGTAGGTCCCAGTGGGAGACCTAAGAAGTCGCTGATTGGACGACAGGTCGTTTTACTTTTGAACCGGAAGTTATGCTGGAGTGCTTCGTTTGATTGAAAACCTAAGGAAGCGGGAATACAGTCACTTCGCCATGTATTGCCCGAACTGTGGAAAGGAGGTGGTTGAGCCGTCACCAAATTTTTGCAGTAATTGTGGCAAGAGGCTTCAAGAAACTTGTATGGAGGATACTCCACAATGTTCAAGTAAGTTAAAAAGTATAAAGGAAGATTCATATTTCTTATGGATGTAGTAACTTGCTAACGCTAGTGGTCTCCAGACCGTGTCCACTGTCATCTAGTTGTTCATTATAAATGCAATTAAAAGTACACAAAGTCGCTATAATATAGCAGAATTGTATTAGCTATATATCGTAAGGTCCGTTACAGCCTTAGGCACTACTTTTTTAGGATAATTGGTGTCGTTCTGGTTCTGCTGCACTGCGATCAGGCTAGCCGCCTTTTTGGAAGCGAACTCGCATTTAATTTATACTTGTGGCAGCTTTACTTCAGCTCGTAATACATATCGTCTGTTTGCATGAATGTGATGTGCGACATTTTTTCTTTGCTTTACTTCTAGCACAACAGACTGTCCCATCCTGCCGTACACCAGCCCTCAGCACCTTCCTTGAATAGAAAAATGAGGAGCGACCAAAGTATTCTCTTGGGAGAAAGGGGTTAAAACAAAAGGTAGAAATGAAAGTTCGGGTAGGTGCTAAATTGGGTTCCCCTGTGTCGGGAGCGATCATTACAGCCAGAGAGACGAATGAGGCGGATCTGACCATTTTCACGTCGCTTCTGATCGATTTCTCGGTAAAACAACTCATATAATCATGTGAAGGTTGTAACATTGAGTTTAATTGGCAGCTGTTGTTTAAAAAATTGTATAATAAATAAATAAACAAGATCTTCTGATGCTGTTTTTTTATTTTATACGCCAAGAGAATCGCTCTTTTTCCAACGTTTCTCACGTAAGCCTGGCAGAAATAAGTCAGGCACCAAACACAGTTTTCCCAACACGTAGTGTGTATGTAAAGATTTTTGAGAATTTGGAAACAGTTGTTCTTTATTCCCCAAGGTTCGGTAAGGGTAGGAAAGAATGGAGGAAATTATAATCTGGTCCCCCTCCATAATATGGGAACAACTTAATTTACCAGCAAGATTTTTTTCTCTGTTTATTCCTCTCATCATCAACAATAAATCCTGTGATTTTGGTAGAATTTGCTCCTTGTTTGCCAGAGTTATGAGGGGAAAGCCATATATTTTAGGTGATTAAAATAATCTGTTCCCCCTTCAAAACATGGGGACTATTTACCAACAAGTCTTCAACTGTGCTTATTCATCTCTTCATCAACAACAAATTATTTGAAAACATTTCCTCTTTATTTGCCAGAGATATGAGGGGGAACCATATATTTTAGCCACCTGAAATAATGTGTCCCTTCCAAAACATGGGAACCAATTAATTTACCAGGAAAATATTCTCTTCATTTCTCAAAGGTAAGTGGCCTTGGGATTTAAACTATCTTTCCACAGCTGTCTTATATCACATTATCCTTCTCGAAAAACCATCAATGCACCCTGAGATGGCCAAGCCGAATGGCTTCAGTTTTGTCGTAGCCAGCTACATGCTATATGTAATTGGGCCCCGTGGAGGGATACGTGCGTCTTGTAAACCTGCGAGTTCTCAGAGCGATGCCTTGAGGATTCAGCTGCCTCAGCAGTCTCATTACAACATCACGTTTGACACGCAGGTTGTGTTTTAGTTTGAGAACTTGCCACATGGTCCGATAGCCAAATAATTGCCCTGGTCCTCTAAGCTCGGACATAATGACACGTCTCACTTCAGGAAGTGGAGAGTAGTTGCCTCTTCAATGCAGCCCTGCTACTTTCAAATGAGTCTTTACTGAACGCATGCTAACCGACACTTCGTGGTTGGTCTGGAGCATGTCCAGTATCACCAGTATCAGTATGTCCTGACTCAAAATATTTACGAATAACAGTACTAAGGTTTGGATCACTGAGAACATTCTTGTTTTCAGCAATCAAGTTAAAGCCAGAAGAACTTCCGGTTCAAAAGTAAAACGACCTGTCGTCCAATCAGCGACTTCTTAGGTCTCCCACTGGGACCTACCTCTTCCGTTGTGTTTTCCTTAATGTAGTGTTTTTGTTAATGTTGTCGTGTTTTTGTTAATATTGTTGTGTTTTTGTTAATGTTGTAGTGTTTTCGTTAATGTTGTTGTGTTTTTGTTAATGTTGTCGTGTTTTCGTTAATGTTGTTGTGTTTTTGTTAATGTTGTCGTGTTTTTGTTAATGTTGTTGTGTTTTCGTTAATGTTGTAGTGTTTTCGTTAATGTTGTCGTGTTTTCATTAATGTTGTTGTGTTTTCGTTAATGTTGTTGTGTTTTTGTTAATGTTGTCGTGTTTTTGTTAATGTTGTTGTGTTTTTCTTAATGTTGTTGTGTTTTTGTTAATGTTGTCGTGTTTTTTAATGTTGTTGTGTTTTTGTTAATGTTGTAGTGCTTTCCTTAATGTTGTAGTGTTTTGCACCTCAGGGCCACCGTAGCAACACACCGGTCTTTCCTCTTCTCCAACTGTAGTCACAGTGAAGCCAAGCGCTAAATACGCTTCGTCGTATTTCCTCTTCTTAGCTTTCGGTTGACTTTCTGTTGTCTCATTATCTTTGTCTCTCTCCGCTTTTCTTTCATCCCTGTTAAAAACTTTTTCATGTTGGGGGTTGTTGAATAACGGAAGCCATAGACAGAACGCAGTCGGAGCTTTTTGTTGACTTAACACTGCTAACCAAGGCAAACCTGTTGTCTTGTAAGTCGTAAAATGTTGCACTGTCGCAAACGTGACAGAAGTAACAATGAGAGCGCCACTGCCGCCTACTGTGCGCAATTACACTTTCTACTAGTACGGCCAAAAAAAAAAGCCTGTTCCCCAGGATCACACGCGCCCCCCCAGGTATCGCACCGCGCCCCCCAAAGGGGGCCCGCCCCACTATTTGAGAAGCACTGCCATAGGTTCACATTTGTACACAACCAAAAGAAAAGAGCAGAGTGGTAGAAAAATAAGAGATGAAAGTTATAACATCCACAGTCTCATGCTGGCTGATAAACTGTTGCTTTGTCCTGACTGCATGTATCACAAATGAAATATTTCTGTTTTGCAGGACAGAAAGGGATAAAGCCCCTCCAAGTCCTTACCTCACCATCTACAACGATGGTACAGTCTTAGTCCAGAATGATCAGGTGCTGGTCAGCACATGCATGATGCAGGTTTACAAATTCCCATTTGATGTTCAGAGCTGCACTCTCTCAATTAAATCAGTTGTTCACTCCGGTAAGTCAGATTCAAGCTGTTCTTCTGTTTTTCCAATTGTGTTCATATTTTCTGTGATTACCAGTGCTTTAGTGCTGATTATGTGAGTCTTTACGACATATAGTTCAAATTGCGCAAGATAAAAATTAAATCAGAATAAACATTTCCTTTTTTTTTAGCTCATTGAGGTTTACAAATTTTAAAGCACTGACTTCTAGATGAGATAATGAGACAGATGATTTTTGTGATTCAACTCAAAATTACAATTGTTGTCCCTTAGATTATTGTCCAGCTGCTCGCACAGATGATGTTAAAGTTGCAGTTAAAGTACTGGTGCCTGCCAGGTCCATTTCACCAAGTTAAAACATTTTTTTCTCTTCAATTCCAGTTGAGGAAATTAACCTGTCGCATACCTGGAACTCCTCAGTGACTACGAATTGGTCACGTGAGTTGATGAGCACGCAGTATGAGTGGTTGTTTGTTAACATGACAGTCACCGCCAAAAAAGTCAAACCATTTGGATCCCAGCAAGACATAATTATTTACACTGTAAGTAAATGGTGACTTCGTGTGTTTACAGTGAGTCTGTATCTTCTTTTAAAATGATGGATATTGTTAATAGTAACATGTCTGCAGCAGCATAGGGACAGACTGGATTACTGTGAATTGTTAAAACTTATAGAAGATCTAGAAACCAGAACAAAATATTAAAAAATTAGCAGAATAAAAGAATAATGAATGAATCATCATAAATTTTCTGTCTTATTTTGACTGTTATCTACATTGTATTTGTTTTCTCTTCATATCTCCAGGATCTTTAACTTTTATCTAGATTTTTATTTCCCTTCCTTAAACCTGTCACATGCAACATTTTGCCTCACTAGTTTTCTAGTGTAGAATATCTTATTCAGCCATTTACAGATGTAACACATAACGCTGTATGCACACAATGACATGTCCAAACATCTGTTTTACAGATCTATATGAAAAGGAGATGTATACTCTACATCGTGAACTTCCTGCTGCCTGTCCTCTTCTTCTTGTGCCTGGACTTGTCCTCCTTCCTGATCTCGGACAGAGGCGGTGAGAAGATCAGCTTCAAGGTGACGGTGCTGCTGGCCGTCACCGTGATGCAGCTCATTCTCAATGACATTCTGCCGTCATCATCAGACAAGATCCCACTGATTGGTAAATGGATCAAGTCCTGCTATGTTCTACAGAATGCAGCTGGGGTGTTACTTTTACATTCATTGGTTCTGGAATTTTTATCATGTAAAGCAAAGTTCTGGGAAGATGCCTGGAGTCAAAATGGATTTTAATTGTGGGGTTTTAAAGATAAAGTTGAAAAGATTTTCAACTTTTTTCCTTCCAAAATGGATTCAACATACAATTTCAATGAGTTAAAAACAAAAAATAATCATACAAATATAAAACTGCAACAGGACTTTTGTAAAAATATGCAAACTGTGTTTTAAAAGATGTTAACCAGGTTAACATTAAGGTTTTGGAATGGCCTTCCCAGATCCCCAATCTCAGCACAACTGAACATTTGCTGATTATCTGTCAAACTCATGTGGAAAATGGGAATAAAACATGAGGATATTTTTTAAATTACAGTTTGCCACTGCAATAAACTTGTTTCACACAGTTTTTTATGTTTGAAGTTTTGAATAACTTGTTTCAGCAGCTTGTCATGCAGTTTAAGTTGTGATTTCTTCATTGTCACCATCTTTATGATAACCTCTCCCCAGCGGTCTACTGCATTGGGATTTTTGCGCTGATGTTCCTCAGCCTCCTGGAGACAATTTTGATGATGTATCTGATAGACATCGAGTCTGAATCCCAGGAAAATGAGATGAACAAACGACATAGTTTGGAAGACGGTTGTGGAGACAGTCAAGATAGAGACGCCAACTACCAAAGCTGTGAGAAAGGTAGGAGTAGCAGCCTTTGGGCTCTTTTAATTAGTGAGCTCTAAAACACAAATTTAATACTAAGACAAAATTTAGTTGAACAACTAAAAATTCTATTTAAAAATATTTAAGAATATGCTTTCTTCTGATATTTTCTGTACATATTCAGTACAATCTGGACCCAATTGAGACGATTCATTTTGATCTGAACACTGCAGAATTTGATCAAGACGTGAAAGAGAACTTGAAGTTTCAGAATTGTACACTTATTAAAAACGTATGGTAAAATTAATGTTATGTTTCTATATTTCAAGTTAATAGAAAAGCACTTACAACACAAATGAAGGTCTAAACTACAAGTCTGTAGGAGGAAGACAGTCCTTATTATTAATGTTTTCCTTCCAAATATTCAGGTGTAAAATCCTCACACCTGAAGACACAATGTGCTTTATCTGTTTCCTCTAGAAGAGAAGAACTGGCCTGGGTGTTCATGCATCTGTGGTGTGTCAGCAAACAAGATGCCAACTGACCTGGGGCAGGTTGGTATTAGACCCCCACAGGAACGACTGTTTGAGTTTTGATTTCAGGTTCAATTCGCGCTCAAACCACGTTTGAGTTTCAGTTTGTTGAGTCAGAAAACTAAAAAAGCTCATAAAGTGGCCTGCTGTCT